CACTTAGAATTTCAGCTTCTGAAGCCTCTTCACTCTGGGGCTGAAAATCCAAGCGGTTCTGAGGCCCTTGCGTACCTGACCTGCACTGCACCCCTGTACTCCTGACCCAACCCTCCCACACACCCTCCAGGCACCCCCTCACTCCCGCCTCCATCTGGCAGCACCTGGGGCTTGCAACTTCCTGCCAGCTTCCTCATTGACTTGATTGTGGGAAGCCAGCAGAAAGTTGCCTTGCCTAACAACTGGGGCATTCACTTAATGATGGCAACTGGGATTGCCGGGATTGTGGTCACTAAGTGATGCGGTCACATGATGGTTTGCCTAACGACCGTGCTTAGCGAGGGAAGTTCCGGTCCCAATTGTGGTTGTTAGGCGAGGACTGTATTAGTTTTTATCTTTTTAATTGTAATGATTAATAAAATTATTTTTAAAAAGTAAAATAGGACATAGGATCATTTTTAACCCTTCCAGCCAAGGGTGCAGTGTGTCAAATACACAGCAGTCTGAAAGGCCTAGATTCCTTATCAAACAGTTCCCCATCCAGTTGAATGGAAGTCAGCAAACAGGGAAGTCTATAAACAGGATTAGTGTCCCTTTCCTTGAACTCCATAGCTCCTGGAAGAACAAAAACCACTTACCTCCATTCTCTCTGTCTCTCTCTCTGTATCTTATACACAGAATTGTAGTTATGGAGGGAAGTCACCATGCTATGAAGCCTTTTGCTTTCATTAAAAAGCCTCTGCTAGCTCTGATGCACTAAGGATTTTTGCATTTGGATGTTTATCACAATAGCTGTAATCATTATTATAGACTGCAATGTAGATCCTTTATCTGTGTATGCATGTGGCTATGAAGAGTGGGAGGAATGGTTTACTTGGGCCCAGAGGCTGGGAAGCAGGATTAAGAATTCAATGCACAAGGAAGTAGAATTGTCAGAGATAATTAAACTGACTGGAAATGGATTTTTAAAAATTAAGATTAGTTTTCTGGTCTGGAGCTTATGTGGGAGAAGTGCAATAATAATGCAAAATATAAAGCCACATTTTTCAGTTAAATCTGTTAATTAATAAGTTCATCTGTTAATTTGAATCCAGAAACTCATCTTTCCGATTTATAGTCCTTTCTAAGACAGTATGATTAGATTTAAAGACTACTCAAATAATTAGTGAGTTTATTTCTATTACAGTTTATAAACAGAATGAAAACATAGAAAAATATTATAGATTTCTTTTGGCATGGAAATCAACTTCCATTCCACACTTCCATCCTTCTCAGACCAGCTGTTCAACTTTTCTCATTTTTGACAAAGTGGACAAATATCAGAGCAATGGTATTCTCCAAGGAGGAGAATTCTTTAGCTTTGGCAACAATGCTGGCCAGGTGTTCTGTCCAGATGGTGGTTACCAATGTCCCAATTGGTGGATTCCTCTGTTTCTTTATCCTTCCCATTTGAGCTGGGAAAGCAAGTACCAAATGCTTTCCTTTCCATAGGTGAGTCTTTGAAGACATGAGGTTTCCATTTATAGACCTTTCAATTTCATAATATTCTTGTTTGAGACAAATAGTATTTAAGTAATTTGAAGAAAAGATGACACAGTGCAATATATCCATTTTGAATATCAGTGGCTTCTTCCTAAGTTTTATCATATGCAAAGTTACAACACTAAAAACAATAGCTGTAAAGATTGCAATGGTTTTATCTTGGACATTTCAGAAATTTAGCACCACACTCAACACCAGCAATGTTAAAAATAGTTTCTTCATTGCACTTGTTTGTTTATTTAAAAGATCTGTACAGGAGACCATCTTAAAACACAACTCTGGGCAGCTCACAACAACCACACTCAACACTAGCAATGTTAAAAATACACTTCTTTGTTGCATTTATTTATTTATTTGATTTGTATGGCAGACCATCTTAAAACACAATTCTGCAGCTAACAATAAAACCCCTAACTATAAAAAACTATAAAAACATAAAACCGTACTCTCCCACTCAAAAATTAAGATGATTTTTAGAAATGCAACTAATTCTTAATAGTGTATAATGCTATTATTCACATTAATACTGTCAAAATGAAGTATATCAAAAAACAAAGTGGATGAAGCAAGCTTTTTTATTTACCAGGGTTGGGTTACATTACAGAGGACAGCAAACAGCAAAGCAGTTCATAACAGAAGCTCTTTGAGGTTTTTCTTTTGATTGCTTGATTTTTTTTGTTTAATATGCACTAACACCGGGAAGCTTCTCCTCAACACAACAGTTTTAATAGATTTTTTTGAAAGCACTGCTTGCTTGCCTATTAGTTGTTTTATCTCTGTGTAGACGTGTCTTTCTCTGTGTGCATGTATGTGTACTTGAAGTTCCAATGCACTGTAGCACAGCTAAAAACCAAAAAGCTTGATGGAGTTAAATAAGGTTTCTACAACTGTTCTCTTATGAACACTTTTGGTCAAATTTGGAGCACAACTGCATTTAATTATTTATATCATTAAAAAAAAACCTATGCCACTACACATGGGTATGACTGTCATTTTATTTCCCACTGGAGCCTCATATGTACTGCTACTCTAGAACACTGAGAGAAAACCGACACAAGCATCAGTTTTTCATGGTGTAACCATTAGACCAGGGTTCCTCAACCTTGGCAACTTTAAGACGGGTGGACTTCAACTCCCACAAATTTCCCCCCCCAAAAGCTCGCTATAGGAAATTTTTGGGTGTAAACAACCCCACTTTTAA